GCTCTGCTGTCTTCCTACCAGGCGCCGACCCCACCCCGAGGGCCCTGCCCCACCCCGGCCTCGTTTGACCCATCGCCCTCCAGAGGCCCACCTCCAAATATCACACCCGGGGTTGGGCTCCAACATGTGAATCTGGGGGACCCAGACATTCAGTCTGTAGCAGGACACCCCCCTCCTCGTACGAGCGACACCAGAGCTGGTGCAGTCCATCTCCCCACGCTCGAGCCTCTGCTGCAGGTGCAGGACAGGGCCGGCGATGCCTGCGGTGAGCCCAACGCTGGGGACACAGAACAGACCGTCCGACACAGGGGATGGCCAGGCCCACGGGGACAGAGCGGCTGCAGAGCCCTGAGCAGGCGGTCAGGGAGGAGGCCAGCAGGCAGGGTGTGGGGCCCGGGACCAGAGGGCCGTCAGCCTGAGCAAGTGGCCTCCCGGACCAGCTGCTCTCTGCCCAGCTGTGCCTCTAGTTCTGCCCGCTGTCCCCTCCAGCACCGGGAGCCTGACCCCTGGCGCCCTACCCCCGCTACCCTGGGTTTTAGTTCGGCAGAAACCATCATTCTTCCCTCGGAAGTTTTCCAGGGTATGTGGTACATTCATTGCAAATGTTTTTTTAGGGAAGATAACAAACACCCCTCTCTGGCTGATTTCTCCTGACACACACAGGCGCACGTGCACACACACACACACACACACACACGCCTGCTTTGATTGGCTTCATCTTCTCGAGAAATGATCTGGGATGTCATCCAGTTTATGTAATACCCTCAGTGTTTAAAAAACTTGGAGTTAGTCAATTTCAAGACACTTAACGCCAGGCCTGATTGCTTTGAACAATTTAAAGGCAGACCAGCATTCTGAGCTTTTGAACAAACACGCACACACACTCATTCATTCGTTCTCTCCCCCTCCGCCTCGGTGAGATAACAGTTTGCCTCAAAGGAGGACAAGGAGAAGAAAGCGCCCGTTTTTAAGATGCACAACTAGTGCTGTTGACGTGTTGACGTCCGACAGCTGGGACGGGTCCTAGCTCGCCGCTTATTAGGAAGTCTGCGGCCGCATACATGTACTTATTTGAGTTTAGACCGGAGAACTTTCGCTCACAAGCCTTCAGAATCCATAATACCTGTTTTAAGAGGGGCCTTGCGGGGCTCTCACGCAGCCTGTCCCTGAGATGCAGAGTCCTTCTCTGGAAGCGGCTTCCTGGCGGTGGCCTGGGCACTGACCACCACCTCCCCCCCCCCCCCCAAGCTCACGGGGATGCCTCACCGGGGCCGGGCGGGTCACACCTCCGAGTCGTCCCTCGGAGAAGCACTGACCTAAAGGGTAAGGGCATCGGCCCTGGAGCCTGACTACCAGGCTCCCTAGCCTGGGTACCGGATGGGCCGCTTCCCTGCTGTCACTTAACCTCTGTGAGCCTCCAGTTCCCCTGTGAAAACTAGGGGATGGGATGCGAGCCCTGCGGGGCACTGGCCTCACTGGGCGCCAGAGACTCTTCCTCAGTTCCCTGCGATGCCCGCAGCCCTGCCTGCACCTGCAGCTCAGCACTGCTCGGGCGCTTCTGCAAGGGACAGGGTGACCTGTCAAAGGCTTCGGTGCAGCGTGTGTCTTCACAGTTGTAGGCTGCACGTGTTAAGCGTACGACTGGATATATTCTCTCTCTCTCTCTCTCTCTCTCTCTCTCTCTCTCTCTCTCACACACACACACACACACACACACACACCCATGGAACCATTACCACACTCAAGATAGTAGGCCTGTCCTTCACCCCGAAACATTCCCTCTTGCTCGATTATAACCCTGCTTCCCCCACCTCCCGTCCCCCACCCCCAGGCAGCTGGTACCAGTCTGCTTTCAACTACCGGGCGTCGGTGGGCACGTCACGAAGCTGTGTGTTATGGGAGCTGTGCAGTGTGTACTCTGGCCTCTCTCTCTGAGCGTAGTTGTCTTGAGACAGCACGTGTGTGTCCCAGCGGTTTGCCGTTTCTCTCTGCTGAGCCTTATTCCCCTGTGCGCATACACCACTGTTCGCTCACGTACGCCCTTGCTGGTGGACGTCTGGTTTGCCCCGAGTTTTGGCTGTGGGAATGAAGCTACTTTGTGTTACACACCGAGTCCTTGTGTCCTTTCTTTTCTCCCGGAGGAACACTGCAGTGGGGGATGGCTGGTAGTTGCGTGAGTGACTCTTTAAGAAGCTGTCTTCCAGAGTGGTTGTACTGTTTCATGTTCCCGCTGCCGGTGGACGAGAGGTGTGGCTTCTCCTCGCCAGCACTTGGTGTGGTTGGTCCTCCCCATTTTAATCCTGGTAGATGCGAGGTGGCGTCTCACTGTGGTTTAAGCTTTTATGTCCCTATTGACTAACGATGTTGGGCACCTTTTCACGTGCTTGTCATTGTATATCTTCTTTGGTAAAATGTTCAAACTTTTGTCCATTTTTTATTTGATTACTTACTGGCTTGTTGTTAAGTTTGTACAGTGCTTTATACAATCTGGATACGAGTCCTTTATCAGATATTGGCAAATCTTTTCTCCCATTCTGTAGCTTGTCTTTTCATTCTCTTCATGGAGTGTTTGTTTTGTTTGTTTGTTTGTGTTTTGGCGGTACGCGGGCCTCTCCCGTCGCGGAGCACAGGCTCCGGACGCGCAGGCTCAGCGGCCGTGGCTCACGGGCCCAGCCGCTCCACGGCATGTGGGATCTTCCCGGACCGGGGCACGAACCCGCGTCCCCTGCATCGGCAGGCGGACTCTCAACCGCTGTGCCACCAGGGAAGCCCCACGTGGGTGTTTTTTATGATACCATTTTATTTCCTTTTTTTGGCTTTTTGGTTGTAACTCTTTGTTTTTTTTTTTTTATTTTAGGGGTTGCTCTAAGGTTTTTAATATACACCTTTCACGTATCATCGTCTACCTTCAGGTGATACTATACCTTTTCACATATATAACATAACCTTACAGCTGTGTATGTCTGTTTATGCCGCCTTTATGCTGTTGCTGTCGTATATTTTACTTAATATTTATGTCTGAAAACCCCAATATATTTTTTATTAGTTTTGTTTAAACAATCTCTTAAAAATAGTAACTTAAATATTTCCAGAAGATGTAAATAATATGAAAAACCATATTTCTGCCCGCGTAGCTAAGATTCCCGCTGCTCCTCACACCTTTGTGTGGCTACTCCTTCCCTTCTGCCCGCGGGTCTCCCTTGACATTTCCTGTAGAGCAGGCCTGCTGGGGATAAACTCTCTGTATGTCTGAGAACATCTCGATTTTGCTTTTGTCTTTTGAGAGATATTCTCAGTGGGAATAGAATTCCGGGTTGACAGTTTTTCATTTCTTCTAGTATTTTCAGGATTTTTCTCCTCTTTCTCACTTGCAGTGTCTCTGCTGAGGAAGCTGCTCTGTTCCTCTGTGGGTAACATTTCCTTTCTGTGGCTGCCTGCGGGATTTCTGTAGCACTGGTTTTGAGCAGCCAGATCGTTCGTGGACTGGGGCTGCTTTCTTCCTGTTTCTTGTGCCCGGGTTTGGGTAGCTTCTTGGGTCTGTGTCTTTATACTCCCGTCACATTTGGAACCTTCTCGCAGTATTTTTCTGTCCCATCCCCCCACCACCACCACCACCGCAGGGACTCCAGTTACACGTAAAGTCACCTTCATGACGTTGCCCCACCGCTCAGCAATGCTCCTTCCAGTTTTAAAGATCGATTTTCCTCTCTGTCTGCTACTGTGGATAGTTTGTATCGCTCTGTCTTCAAGTGCACTAAACTTTTGTCCTGTAGAGTCTGATCCATCATTAATATCATCCAGGACTTTTCATCTCAGACATTGTAGCTTCCACCTCTAGGAATTCGATTTGGTCTTGTTTATGTCTTCCATATCTGTCCTTAACTGCTGAACAATGGAATATTATTCCTTTATTCCAATAGCTTTTAATAACTGTTTCATTGTCCTTTGGGTGCTGATTTAATGTCTGTGCAGTTATTCTGCACAGGTAGGTTATTCTCTTCATTGTGGGTCATATTTTCCTACTTAATGCCCAGTAATCTTTGATTGGATGGCAGACATTGTGAGTTTTAGGTTGCTGGGTTCTGAACGTTTCTGTGCTTGTATAAATCTTGTTGAGCGTTTTTCAGGGATGCACTTAAGTTTCTTGGGAAGAGTTTGGTCCTCTCAGGTCTCGCCATTGTGATCTGCTGGGCCAGCCTGGAGCAGGCACCAGTCTGGAGGCAGTTACCCCCCATTCCCGAGCCAAGACCTTCCTGAATCATCCATGAAGCGTGAGTTTTCCTTTCTGGCTGGTGGAAAAGGCTCTGTTCCTTACCCCGTGTCAGTGCTGGGCACTGCTTCCTTGGCATTTTTTAATTTTAAACCGTACGAATATGGTTGCTATAAAAAAAATTAATTTAAAAAGGAAGACAGAAATCGGCGCCTTCTTACGATGAGCTGCCACCTACCCGCATGCCTGCTTTGCCCACGGGCCTTGCTCGGCCTCTGGGCCTGCGGGGTAAGACGAGCCTCCTCCTGCACCTCGTCCGGGTGGTCCCGCCGCCTCCAGCCACCAGCTGTGTCCACAGCGCGCGTCGGGGAGCTTCCCCGTCTCTTCGTCGTGCTTGGAGACTCTCTTCAGGCCGTTCCCTTGACTCTCGCAACCTCTCCGGTGTGCCGTCACACTTGGGGCGGGGGGGGTGGACTGGTGGGCACAGGACACGTGCAGGCCCACCGTGCCCCCTGTTAGTTCTCCCTGCTCCCTTCCGGTCCTGGTCAGCGAGGGCCCCACCTCTCCCCACCACAGAAGCTTCTGCACCGGAATAGATGCCTTGGTTGCGCTCCCCCATCCTGGGCTTGTGTAGTTTTACAGTTTTTCCTTAATGTCACGTCTTCGTGGCACATTTCTACGAATGTGTACTTGGCAACGGGCCTTTTAACCGTCCTGTGACCTTTCCCCTTTTCCTCCCCAGAGGGCGGGCTGCCGTGGGGCTCCTGTCATGGGTCTGCTCTCCTTGCAGGTTGAAGGTTGAGGAGCTGGAGGGGGAGCGGAGCCGTCTGGAGGAAGAGAAGAGGGCGCTGGAGACACAGCTGGAGCGGCTCACCCTGCAGGTGGGCTCGTCCGGGGCTTGCCCTGCCCTCCTGTTTTCTCCTGGGTTTTGCCCGATGTTCCTGCACCCCAGCCATCCCACTTTCTACCTGACCAGACTAGACTAAACCGGGGGCCTGTCCCCCACCCAGGCCCCTGGCTGGCCGAGAACACCCGTCCCGAGCCACCAGAAGGGACAGCCTGGCCCGGGTGGTGCTGCCCCAGCTGCCCACCCCGTCCGCTTTCTTGGTCTCCATCTCGTTTTTCCCGACTGCTGGCCGCAGCGAGCCCACAGCCTGACCTCTGCGTCGCCCGTGGCGGGTGTGACGGGCGTGCCCCCCTGGGAGGAGACGCCAGCAGAGGTCCTGGGTGGTTTGGGGTTCGTATCACCAAGCCCGTCTGCGTCTGCCTGCAGTTGTGAAGTCGGATCGCTATTTGCACTGTTTTGCTCTTGCTTTGTTTTCCATGTTTATCCTCCTGTCTAAATTGTTCCATGGCAGGAAACCTGCAGGTTAGTGATTACCCAGATTTTGGACAGGCCATTGATTTTTCTCTTGGCATCTATTAGAGGCAAATCAAATCTCCTTTTTATTCCCGATTCCTGGAGATGGGGAAAGTGACAACCTTGATAAAACGAGGCGCTGTGAGCCACAGCTGGGCCATACTCTGCTCCAGGACCTGTCACCTTGTACCATTTTAATTGGGCCGCAGTCCTGCTGGGAGGGCTGGGCTGCAGGCGGATGAACCCCGGCCGCCCGTCAGTGGTGCCGTGTCAGGGCAGGATGGGGAGTGTCTTTCTGGGTCCTTAGTTGAGCTCAGCCTGAGGTCACGGCCGATGGCTTCCCAGGCCTCTGATTGGGACTCTGAGTGCTGCTGAAATCCACGTTTCCTTTTTGCAGCTCTAGGGCTTCAAGGCCTGTCACGAGGAGCCTCAGTGGCCCTTGGTGATGGTGTCGAGGGTCAGACCAGATGAGAGGTGCAGTGAGCACCGTCAGTGGATGTGGGGTGACGGGGCCGGCGCTGGGGGCTCCCAGCTTGAGCCTTCCTGTGTGGGAGGTTCGGGCGGGTGGTGCCCGGCCCATGCAACACTCCGCGGGTGGGGTCAGCGACGTCGGCCGTGTCCAGCCTCCTGGGCCCCGCATGGACCTCACGCAGTGTGGGGGCCTGGCTGTGCGTCCTGGAGCCGCTCACGGCCAAGGCGGCAGGTGGCATCCGTGTCAGCTTGGCGAGGGCATGGGTCAGTGTCTGCGCCCTGGTGTGGCATGGCTCTCGGCACGCAGGTTTCTCTCCATGGAAGTGTGTGTGTGAGGGGGGTCCCCGGCCGGCAGTGGCCACACGCAGCGCCGAGTGTGCCTGTGAGCAGCTGCCCCTGCGTGGCCGGGAGGGTGTGGCAAGTGGGTCCTGGCTTCCAGGATCCTGGGGGAGCAGACGTTCGCACGGTGATGTGCACGCCTGCCGCTGCTCCCAGGGCGCGCGGCCGCCGCCTCCCTCACCCCCGGCCGTGGATATTCTGGAGCCACGTCCGGGGGTGTGAGGCCCCGTCCCCGCCATGGGCGCTCGGGTGGCCCCCGCACCAGGCGCAGTCCCGCCGCACTGGTTCTCTCCACCTGCTTCGAGCCCGGGGCCTGGTGCCGCCCCTCCAACTCTGCAGGTCACCCGGATCTTGAGACGGCAGCAAGCAGAGGCTCCTGGGTGCCTCTGTCCCACGTCACAGCCCCTTTCTCCGTGTGGCCAGTTCCAGCTTGAGTTCCAGCAGGCTCTCAGGAGCACCCCCGCCCCGGCACAGGGCTCGTTTCAGAAAGGTCCTTGTGATGGCGGGGCCGAGTCCTGTCTCCTGACTCACCATCTCAGTCACAGGCGCCACAGGCCTCTGCTCCATGGGCCCTGGGCTTTCTCCTTAGGCCTCCTGTATCTGTGCCCACCCACACTCCTGGGGGACGTCCTGCTGCCCCCTTTTCACTGACGAGGAAGCTTCGCTCAGAGAGGTTCAGCGCTTTAGTCACGGGCACCGAGCCCCAAGGAGCAGGGCTGACCTTTGAACCCAGGGCCGTTGTCTCCTGAGCCGTACCCTCGCCCCCGGCCTCCACACACTGCTGACCCCTCACCCCACCTTCCTGCCCTGCTCCTTGGGCTGCACCCCTGGTGGCCCGGCCGCCATTCCCAGGTGAGCAGCCTCAGCTCCGGGACCACTGGTCTCCTGCCCCACCCCGGCCCCCAACACCGCCCTGCCCACTGCCCCTGGCCTGGGTCCGTCGTATGATGCTCTGGGAGCGAGGAGAGGTGTATGCCCCCAAGGCTGAGCGGACGGGTCACCCCCTGTCTGACCGTGACGCCAGAGAGGCAGAGCTTGCCCCACCGCCGTCCAGCCCGGGCGGAGCATCCGTGGGCAGGCCCTGCCCAGGAGGCAGGGAAACGGGTGGATTCGGCCCTGGAAGGAGGATGCCCACCTGCACCCTGACCCCTCAGGGCAGACAGAGGGAAACCACTGGGCGTTCTGGTCCTGGTGGAGTGGACCGGGACGACCTCATGTCTGGCTCAGGGAGCCCCCGCCAGGTGGCGCTGAAATGGGCCTGAAGGGGACCTGGGCTCGTGGAAACCGCGGAGACGTGGGTGGTGCCCTGGGGGCACCGGCATCCGAGTCTGTAGACCTCGCCTGGAATCCTGCCCCTCAGCTGGGTGGTCTCGGGCATGTCGTGCTTTGCCACCTGAGTCCCCAGCACATCCTTTATAAAATCGGGGATGGTGCGCCCACGTGGGGGTTACCAGGAGGTCACAGGCCACGTCTGACCACACCATCGTGAGGCCAAGACCTTGTCCCCTTCACCTCGGTCCCCGGGCCGTGGAGGCAGCAGGAGAGGGCAGCACACCCCTCCAGGTGGCCTGGCTGCCCCCAGGCTCCACTTCATCTGTGCGACCGCAGAACCGCGGCTTCGTGGCCTGGGCAGAGTGGGAGGACACGGGCCGAGGGGCCCAGCTAGCGTGTAGCTCCCCCGGCTGTGTGTTTATCCGGGGTGCTGCCGGTGTAACCCTTATGCAGGTCTCGTCTCCTCATTGCCCCTGGAGAAGTCTTCGAGTTGGGCTGCTTCAAGCAAGATTGATTAAAATCCACTGCAGTTTGACTTAATTGGGAACATATGCTTGGAGAGGGAGCTCGACTAGTTAGAACTTTTTGTAATTAGTTCACAGCTGGTTGGTGAGGGAACCGCGCCGGTTACCGCTCAGAGCTGAGTGCACGCCTGCCGGCCTGTGCCCACTCAGTGCCTGGCGGGGCCGGGAGGGGAGGCTCCTGGGCCCTCCGCCTGTGGTGCGTGGCCTGTCTGGGTCTTTCTGGGGGTCCTTGGCCACTCCCACCTCATGTATCCTAAGGTAGCCAGCCGTCAGGGAGACGAGGCCCCCATGTAGAGATGGGGAAACTGAGGCCACAGCTGGCCGTTTAGTAGAGGCAGAGTGCCCTCCGGTAAAGACTGAACTTGGGCAAACCAGCTGGGACTCTGGGCCCGAAGCAGGGGTTCTCTGCGAAACAGACTCAGGGAACACACTCCCTGTGCCCCCCAGGCCTTTCCCAGTGGTCCTGGTGGGCACAGGGCACTGCCCGGGCGCGCCCACCCCTCCCGCCCTCGGTCATTCCTCTTCTTAGCGGCTGGGCACTGGGCCTGGTGTTGGCTCTGTCCCTCCCCAGCCATGGCCCTGGTCTCAGTCTGCTCGCCTGGACGTGGAGCTGACCCCACCCCCCTGCAGGCTGTCATGGGGAACACGGTGACGTGCCCGGCACAGAAGCACCGCCGCTGCCGCTGTCACCGCTCTTACCTTGATGATGCCACACGGTTGTCCACGTTTAGCTTCTCGTGGGCCACGTTTGGGGCTGTCAAAGCAATGAGCCGCCTGGCGCTCCCGGGGTGCAGTCCTGAGGGCTAGAGGCGTGGCAGCTCTGGGCCTGGCAGACGCTCGTGCCCCCGGCAGTGCCCCCTCTGGTGAGGAGCGAGCTTCGCGTGGAGGGGGGTGAGTTTGGTCCCCCTGGCTTGCCCTGGGTCCCGGGTGGTGGAGCCGGCATGCAAAGTCAGCCCTACCGGTTTCCCCCATCGTGTTACGAACAAACACCGTCCAATGTACGGCAAAGTTGGAAGAGTTTTACAGTAAACACCCATGTGTCCCCCCAGGTCCTGCTGCAGACACTCTCCTGTGGCTGCTGTATGACGCAGCACCTCTCTACCCGCTTCCACCCATCAGTACTTTCTCTTTTCTTAATGCATTTTAAAGAAAATTGCAAACATCTGTACCTCTAAATGCTTCAGCATGTACGTAATTAAGCAGAATTCATCTCTGGGCTTTGCGCCCCCT